TTTTAAAACAATGAATAACTATCAATTTTAATTAATACGAATTAAACTAATAGGAAATGGCATTATGGCGTAAAACAAATAATCCTGATCTTGAAGAAGAGTCTCTAAAGAAGACTGTACCAGAAGAAATTGAAGCTCGTATACCTGCGGATCTGGAAGACCGGCTTAATAAAGTCAACAAACAATTAAACGAGTCAATCGAACATTATCGTAGTATGTGTAATATAATGGAGCGTCTTGCTCGTCGACATGAAGGTATTGAAATATTTAATCTATCTACTCATGAGTTTTTGAGTATTCAAAATATTTTTAAAAAAAACCCAATTTTTAATTAGGATTGTAAAGTGACTATACGCGATATGGTGCTGCATTAAAGTAAATTTCATTGGTTTATTTTTTTGGAGATTTACAATTTTCATAAATTAATAACTGTACTCTTGATTTTTTTTTGGTAATCAGCTCGTTGATTGATATCGAGAAAAAATGCTATATCGAAAATTGTTCTAATTGCTCTCAAATAGCAAATGGCTTGGCGGAGGTATCATCACATATTCAGAGAGCCAGTACTATTATCGAAGAAGAGGTATACAAATCATATCAACGTTTTTTAATATAATGATTATGTAAGATAATAGTTAATTTACTCGATATATAAAATAGGCGAATTCAACTATTGAAAATGTACTGGAAAATTTGAAAAGTCATCGGGATTTATTAGTTTCGTTCCGGGTATGATAATTAATTAATTCTTTATACTGCTGACTTATATATTAATATATATCTTAATTTTTTTGTAGGAAACCTTTGAACGAAGGAATCGATTAGCAATGGATGATACCATTGATGCACTCGAAACTCGGATATCAACCAATACCGCAAAATTATCGGACAAAGGTGATCCCGAAACTGAACGACTATCGGCTGTTATTCAAAAGGTACTTATTTGTCAATACAATTATTAAAATTACTTTTTGATTTGACGATAATTTATTGTACAGGATCAAGTTGATGTTGATCTGCAGAGAAGACGTAAAATTTTTATTCGACATTGTTTCAATGCCGAGCTTTCATTATTACACAAAAGTTCTGCATTTGTTTCGCTTCTTTATCAAAACTTCGCACATGAACAAATCAAATACTCGCAACAATTGTACGAAAATTGGAAACTTCTGAGCCCTAAAGTTTTTGAGATGCCTATTCAAATCATCGATTTTGGCTAGTGGGCAATAGGTCGCACAATTTGCCTTACCAAGAGTATGGAACAAAAAACACTTCGTCGTAAATATATGCATGTTAGTATTATTTACCACTATATTTATTTATTTATTTTTGCTTATTTGTTATTCTTTAGTACTATATAGTATTATCAACAATATACCCAAAATTTTTTGTTAACATATACGACTTAGTAAAAGGGGTGGTTTTACATGGTCTTTAGATTTATTTTATATTGACAATTTTTAATTTTTAATTCCCCTTTTTTTGTTATTGTAAAAAGTTGATGAATTTGTATGGGAATGGAAAGTTCCATGTTTGAGTATTATTGTTATTAACAATTAGTAGAGCTCTCTTTTTGAGTTATTGTATTATAATTCCATATATTGCATGTCACTTATTCGTTGTTATTTTATAT